AAAAAAAAAAAAAAAACTTAAAAAAAAAAACCTACCACTAAAATAAAGGGAAAATGGTGTCACCATGGCTGCAAGAGGAAAATGGAAAATGTTTTAGGAAAGATGGAGTGGTCAACTGCAACAGATACTGCTGAAAGCTTTAACAGCATGACATACTGAGTTGAGAAATGTGAAATGTATTGGTGGCCTTATTAGATTAGTACCATTTAAATGATGGGTTTAAGCTAAAAATAGTAAGTTTAAGACTGAATTTGAGATCAATATAGAAAACACTTAATTTTTTTTCTATAAATATGAGTGAGGAAATGGGACTCAGGGCAAAGTCCTTTAGAAAGCAAGGATGATAGGAATCTAGAGTTCAAGGGGAGGGTTTGATATTATGGAGCACAAAATTTTCTTTAGATATAAAAAGAGGGAAGGAGAAGTTGAATGCAGACACTAATAGGATTGAAAAATTAGTGATGAAGAAATGAGGGATTTGACAGTTGACTTTGATAGACAGTGAGAATGAAATTTAAAAAATAAGGAAATCTTTTTTAAAAAAATGGTATAAAATAGCAATTTGAGCCAATAGGAAAGCAAAATTACAGGGAAAATATGGGATTCCTCAGTGCTCAGTGGTATATAGTATTTCAATGCTACTGATAATAATTGAAAAGGAAAACCAGATATGATAGTCCCACCATACCCACAGGGAAATGTTCCAAGACCCCTATTGGATGCCTGAAATCATGTACTGAACCATATATATGTATACATATATATATGCTATATTTTTCCTATACATACCTATGATAAAGTTTAACATAAATTAGGCACAGTAAGAGATTAATAATAACTAATAATAGAATAATTATAACATACTGTAATAAAAGTTATGAATGTGGTCTCTCTCTCAAAATACTTTATTGTACTGTACTCACCCTTCTTCTTGGGATGATGTGAGATGATAAAATGCCTACATGATTAAATGAAGTGAGGTTAATGACATAGACATTGTGATATAGCATTACGTTACTATTGGCCTTTTGACTTCTGTCTGAAAGAGAATCGTCTGCTTCCACATCACTGTTGATCTTGAGTAATGGAAACCTTAGAAAGCAAAACCACAGATAAGGAAGGACTACTATTAGTGATTACTTGCTAGTTAATATCAGGTTTCTCAGAATACTTTTGGCCACAAGCAAGACAAAATCTCAAATCAACTTAACCAATAAGAGAGGCTTATTTTCTCAAGTTAAAAACAAAAAACAATATTATGTTTTTCCATGGTTTGTTGAATCAGTAGTTCACAGTAACCAAAAGTCCATTCCCCTCGATATTCGCAAAGTATTGGCCATTTCTGTGGCTAGCTTCCCTCATAGTTCAAAATGGCTGCCAATGTTTTAGAAGCCATATGCACACATGTAGGCAAAAAAGGTGGGCCATAATACCACTAGCACTTTATAAAGGGTAAAGAAACTCTTTCTGGAAGTGACTTATAAAATTTTCTTTCATTAGCCAAAATTCTGTCACATTTTCATGCTTCACCCACTCTCCATGTGCAATGGGGAAACGTGGTTAGCTTGGTCCAATCAGAACCTAATCTGGGGTTAAATCAGCTTTCCCTAAATTATCCGAAGAACAGTATGGCTATAAAGAAAAAAAGAAGAACTTTTGTTTGAATGAGAATGGGAAACGAGTGTTCGGTAGACATTAAGTTATTTATTAAGCTATTTAATTTATAGTTGGGTAGAACTAGGTTTAGGTTTTGCCTAATGCATACAATAGAAAGAAGACAAGGTGTTTGGTAATGCAAGTAAAGATTAAATTGATTAACAATGGAATTGAAGCTGGACAGTGAGAGAAATGAAAACATGATGGACTGTGAGAAAGTGAAGAGGCCATGGGTTGGTGATCTTACAGGAGTCAAAATATTTCAATGATTACAATACTATTAAAAGTAATATTACTTTACAATATCATTAAAAGTAAAATTTCCAGATGGATAATCATTTGGGGTTGTGAGATATTTGAAACTATGATTGTGAGGATGGTAGACTTTCTAGTATTCATTCTCATTAGTCTTTTAATATTTACCTTTTAATGGTAGGATATAGTTTTAAAAAATGAGTCATACAGCCCAAGACTATTTTCCCATAGGTTACAAAAATTGGGCTTAAAGATAAGTTTCAACTATTAAAGTCTTGAGATCACTACTGAAATGAAGTTCATTAAGATTTAGGAGGTATCTCAGTATCTCAGTTAATGGTAGGAATAAATAGATACTCCACTGGAAAATATTAAAAAGGATATAAACTGTATAATACATAAGAAGTATGCACTATATTTATGTTTTGCAAGTATAAAAAACATGGTATATAAAGAAATCACCATGGACGTAATTGACCTGTTCTGTAGTTTGTCACCAGTACATTACCTTAAAAAAATGAATGCCGTTAGCTAAAATTTTACTTAAAGAGAATTAGAAATAGTGAGGGATGATACTTAATGTGCAGATATAAAGAAGGAACCTTTAAAACATTCTGTTCTTTAGTGGAGATCTATATTTTATTTTCTGTTCATTTCTTTCTTTTGTCTTTGTACCCAAGCAGGATGCTTTTGGTCCTTAGCATGCTCCCTAGCCAAGTGAAAGCCCATGCATGTCAGCTGAAGCAACATGAACACCCGCCAAAGTTCTTGTGGGAGTCAGACTACCTTACAGCTATGTCTCACCATCAAAGTTGACTGACTAATATGATTTAGTTTATCCTTCTATGATTAGCAGGCTGTGTTTTATGCAAAAATATCTATTGGCCAAGTATCAGGGCTCATAAGCATAGCTGCCCCTACTTAGAGACTTGCTTTTCTTATTTTTATTTGTCTTAAAGCTTAAATCTATTATTGCCTTCAAAGGTTAGGGAAAAGTAAGCCTCATAATTTAGGCCAGATCTTGTGTACATGAGTTAAGTTCTATGCCAAGATACATTAATTATTTATGAACTTTTTCTTAAATGTTTCATCTTGAAAAAAATATTTCTACTCCCACTGTTCTTAGACTTAAAAAGGGAAAGTTACTGTAATAACTTTGTATAGTGACGAATGGTAAATATACTATCATGGTGAACACTTCATAATGTATATAATTGTAGAACCTCTGTGTTATATACCTGAAACATAATATGTCAAGTATAAAATATATAAAAGAATCCTTAGACATATAAAAAATAATAAGGTAAAATAAAAAGGGAAAGAGTAAATAAATGGCACAGAAAAAATTAAAGCAAAGATAAATTTTCTAAAACCCTAGAATTTTTAAAATATAATTTCCGTATGGAAATACTAAAGATAACAAAATATTTACATTAAATGGAACACAGATTTTCTGAATTCAGTATTGTACTTTTTCACATTTATGTAACTGCTTTTACCACTTTTTACTTTTGGAAACTTCAAGCACTTCTATTCAACTCAGCAATAATTTAATGATCACTTGTTACTTGGCTAGTACTAGGCTGATGCATTAGGAATTAAAAATGATATGTATTTGCCTAACCCTCAAGGAACTTAGATTATATATAGCGCTTTTAAAGCAGCTGATTTCAGTATTTTTTTTTAGTTACATAAGCCTTCTAGATTTTGTTTCAAATATATGTTTTTAAGACATAGTCTACAACAGAAATTTCTATAATATTTTATTCTAAACATACACATAATGAAAGAGATATCTTTCAAAGAATCAAACTCATTCTTTCTTGATACTTCTCTGCATTGTTCTCATTTACCTCATTGTTTCCCTTAGGGCTTTGTAAGTAATATATGTTTACAAATTTTCTCTCCAATGATTCTTTGATCAATTTGTTTCCCTTTGTTTTCCCCTTTTTGTATTCAATGAATTTTTCATACTACCATCAACGTAGTATACTTTATACATTGCATGGATGTGCTGATCTATCAGGTCATTAATGGAACCATGAAGAAGTTAATAAATAATTTACTGCTTTGCTTGGAAGAGCCCAAGTTTTCTGGCCCTCGGAGCATAATGGAAGATCCATCTGTTTGTCAAATATATGCCAGATGAAGCAGCAGATCAAAATCCCATATTCCAGCCTTAAAGTGTTATATATAAGCATGGATATTATTTTGGACCAGAAAAACTAGAATAAACAGATCACAAATTAAATGATATCTTAATTATATATTTTTAAGTTCATTACCAGTTAACAAAAACTCTGTTTTCACTATGGAAGTCTAGTATTACCTTAGAAATCCAACATTTTAATCCTGTGTTCTGAAATAAAAGAATGTTCATCATAAAAATTTGGAAAATTCAAATTCAGACTCTATAAAATTAAAACAACCTGGTGTCCTATCATTGTAACATGTTGTATGTGCATACACACACTCAAACATGCAAATGCATAAATATACATACATGAACAGCTACTTTTCAATTTTAAAATTAATATATGTTGTTTTACGAATAGTCTTTAACACAATGTTTTTACTAACTCCATGTATTCTATTCTGAGGAATAGTGTAACTTATGTGTTCAAACATTGGTCCAATCAGAACCTAATCTGGGGTTAAATCAGCTTTCCCTAAATTATCCGAAGAACAGTATGGCTATAAAGAAAAAAAGAAGAACTTTTGTTTGAATGAGAATGGGAAACGAGTGTTCGGTAGACATTAAGTTATTTATTAAGTTATTTAATTTATAGTTGGGTAGAACTAGGTTTAGGTTTTGCCTAATGCATACAATAGAAAGAAGACAAGGTGTTTGGTAATGCAAGTAAAGATTAAATTGATTAACAATGGAATTGAAGCTGGACAGTGAGAGAAATGAAAACATGATGGACTGTGAGAAAGTGAAGAGGCCATGGGTTGGTGATCTTACAGGAGTCAAAATATTTCAATGATTACAATACTATTAAAAGTAATATTACTTTACAATATCATTAAAAGTAAAATTTCCAGATGGATAATCATTTGGGGTTGTGAGATATTTGAAACTATGATTGTGAGGATGGTAGACTTTCTAGTATTCATTCTCATTAGTCTTTTAATATTTACCTTTTAATGGTAGGATATAGTTTTAAAAAATGAGTCATACAGCCCAAGACTATTTTCCCATAGGTTACAAAAATTGGGCTTAAAGATAAGTTTCAACTATTAAAGTCTTGAGATCACTACTGAAATGAAGTTCATTAAGATTTAGGAGGTATCTCAGTATCTCAGTTAATGGTAGGAATAAATAGATACTCCACTGGAAAATATTAAAAAGGATATAAACTGTATAATACATAAGAAGTATGCACTATATTTATGTTTTGCAAGTATAAAAAACATGGTATATAAAGAAATCACCATGGACGTAATTGACCTGTTCTGTAGTTTGTCACCAGTACATTACCTTAAAAAAATGAATGCCGTTAGCTAAAATTTTACTTAAAGAGAATTAGAAATAGTGAGGGATGATACTTAATGTGCAGATATAAAGAAGGAACCTTTAAAACATTCTGTTCTTTAGTGGAGATCTATATTTTATTTTCTGTTCATTTCTTTCTTTTGTCTTTGTACCCAAGCAGGATGCTTTTGGTCCTTAGCATGCTCCCTAGCCAAGTGAAAGCCCATGCATGTCAGCTGAAGCAACATGAACACCCGCCAAAGTTCTTGTGGGAGTCAGACTACCTTACAGCTATGTCTCACCATCAAAGTTGACTGACTAATATGATTTAGTTTATCCTTCTATGATTAGCAGGCTGTGTTTTATGCAAAAATATCTATTGGCCAAGTATCAGGGCTCATAAGCATAGCTGCCCCTACTTAGAGACTTGCTTTTCTTATTTTTATTTGTCTTAAAGCTTAAATCTATTATTGCCTTCAAAGGTTAGGGAAAAGTAAGCCTCATAATTTAGGCCAGATCTTGTGTACATGAGTTAAGTTCTATGCCAAGATACATTAATTATTTATGAACTTTTTCTTAAATGTTTCACCTTGAAAAAAATATTTCTACTCCCACTGTTCTTAGACTTAAAAAGGGAAAGTTACTGTAATAACTTTGTATAGTGACGAATGGTAAATATACTATCATGGTGAACACTTCATAATGT